TGTAACCTGAACTGCCTTGCTGTGATAATTACCTGCCCCCTCCTCTACCCCTAACTCTGCACCCACATGTTTGACTTAGGTTTCCTATCCTATTTACCTATTAAGCTTCACCCTTCTAATTGGACAGTTAATTTACTAATATCAACAGGCAATGTCCGTTTGCAGATGAATTAGGGGTCATGCAATTTTATGACGTCAATAAATTCTGCTCAACTTGTGATCTTCGCCTTGTTCAAATTTCTTCCGGGAAAACGTTGTTTCAGTTTCCTGAAAAGATGCGTATTTACCCATTTCTGGTTGATTAAGTACCTTATGCACAGCGGCAGAGGACGACATATGGCGAGGCACTGGTGAACCTCGGTACAGTGATGGGCCTACAATCCATCTGCCGGACTTCGCTTATGGACCACCCATGCCGTGTGCGAGCGCATTTATGTGGTTTTGATCACAAGTGGTAGTCAGGCTTGTGATGGACTGAGCGAAGGCAGAATACATCCGAAACAGTAACGTGTCGTGCCTCCTCTCCCTCTGCAGTTATAACTTGGCCGCACTCTGTCGGATAATTTATTGCCCGTTAGTGACCTTGGTCAGTCATACTGAGTTTACTTGCTTCAGGAAGCCGGAAAATACGTACGCAGCTAAGCGAATGTGCATTTTAATTAAATGCAATATATGCTCAATTGTATTAATTCGATGAGGAGAATTGGAAAACGGTTGTGTAATAGTCCGTATTTCAGAAATATTTTGGGGTTGACTTATGAATTACAAAAGCACCTTAATTTTACTTTGAGGATATACAATTATGTCCAAGTTATATCACACGGATGCTTTCTTCGCCATGTAGGTGTAAGATTTTTCCGGTTTTTTCATCGTATCATCATCCGTTGAAAGGTTACTTTGCCCATATTACCATACAGAGATTTTAGACATACAGTCTATATGTTCACGAGCTAACGGGCTGCATTAACCTTCAGTTAGACTGAAGATAGTGCAAAATTCTGTTGCCTAGCTTGCTTTTTTATACTCTCTGTAGAAGGCATCAATCCCGCTGAAGAAAGTTAATATCCACTGAAGGTCAACCTAATTCCTGGAAGGTGAGTTGTGACTCAGAGTGCTAACATGTGTATACGACTCATGAATCATTGACTTAACATTAACTATCAAAAGTCAGAGCACTGTAAGTATTTCCAGGGCCGCCTCTACAGAGAAACCTTCCATAATTTGATAGAGCTGGTGTTAAAGGTCCTACACAGGCTAAGGGAACTTATGTACTCCTCGTAGTTCTTCCTTTCACTTTCTTCAGCTTAGATGGCTCAATTCCGAGGCGACTGTAGTGGATAGAGCAAGAAATATTTGAATAGCGTCCCTCAATTAGAAACTTTAGTCAGCAAGCACTTGCATCGCACCTATTCCCGGAGCCCCCTATGACTGTTCTGTTCGGCCTCAATTCAGTTGTGACCTATCAGTTTGAATTTCAATGCACTTGTGGGTATTTTACCGATTGGCGTTCAGAAGCTGCGGCCAAAGTCATCTAGATTTTTTCCAAATGTAAGCCGGTATTTCCCAACACCCATTTATCACTGGTAAAACACTTGGATGCTTTAGCAGACATCATTCGAAAGCTTTTAGACTCAGCTTACTTAATTCAGTGGTTCTATATTGCGTAATAAATATTTAAACAGTCATTAGTATCAATCTACTCTCAATCCTCCTTTTGCCGACAAAATAATTGTTGAGAAGGCGACTAGATCGCTGGGACAGTACTTTTATTCGCCTAATGTTTCGAGATCCGTCGCGGATTCGTCATTAGAGACATAATCAGAGAGCAATGTCAGATAGGGTAGCACATGCACAAGAGTTCGCAGTATTTATAGGATACAGTGTTACTACAGTCATGTTTCATGGGCCCCCAATCCATCAAAAATGCAACGATTAGCCCAATCCACATTTGGTGCTGAGACTCGATTTGGCCAAGGCAAGTCACTGCTTGGGGAATGGACAGGCCACTGCGTCATCCTACGCTAGTACCGGAGGGCCAGATGACCGAGCAATCATCACACCTGAGTCCACCACGC